AAAAAAAAAAAAAAACTGAAATTGAAGGGTGGGAAGAGAGATGAGAAGAAGGCTGGGTGCACTAATTTCTTGATATTTTAAAGTGCAATCAATAGGCACTGAGATTGGTACATTACAAAATAAGAATAATATTATAAGTCAAGTATAGTGGCCCACACCTGTAACCCTAGCTGCTCAGGAGGCTGAGTCAGGAGGTTTAAAAGCTCGAGGTCAGCCTGGGCCACTCAGTGATACCCTGCCACAAAATAAAAAATAAAAGGGTTGAGGGTCAAACTCAGAAAGTCAAAGTTGTATATTTTCTCTCATATGTGGAAGGTAGAAAAGAAAAATGGAGGGGTACCATGAAAATAGAAGGGAGTTCAGTAGAGGAAAGGGACCAGGAGGAAGGGAAGGAGGTGGAGTGGGACAGGAAACAGAGAGGAGGTAAAAGAGGAGAAGAAGGAGGAGGAGGAGAAGGAGGAGAAGGAGGAGGAGGAGGAGGAGAAGGAGGAGGAGAAGGAGGAGGAGAAGGAGGAGGAGGAGGTAAAAGAGGAGAAGAAGGAGGAGGAGGAGGTAAAAGAGAAGGAGGAGGAGGAGGAGAAGGAGGAGGAGGAGGAGGAGGAGGAGGAGGGGGAGGGGAGGAGGGGAGGAAGAGGAGGAGAGGAGGGGGGGAGATTACTTAAGTCAAATGCTAACACAAAAAGAATTAAGAATATAATAATAAAAACTTGAGAGAGAGAAATGGGAGAGAAGCTTTAAGGAAGCATTCATTATTGCAGGAGTCAAAAGATACCATTTATAGTTGGTCAAACAAGACCAAGAAGTATAATTTCTAGTTATTCTAACACAGTGTGTACATTATATCTCATCAATATGTACATTACTATGTCCCAATTAAAAACAAAAATATATTTAAAAATAAATAAACAAAGTTGCCCTGGAAACTACAGAAAAACCTGTAAGAGCAGTGGCCTCTGGGAAGCAGTCCTAAAGGTAGAATAAGGCAGAAAAAGTAAGCTGTTACTTCATATTGTATACTCTGCTTTTTATTTTTACCCACATGCATGTCTCCTATAATTTAAAAACAAATGCTACTTTAATTTTATAAGTAGCAACAAATTTCAATTCCTTTGGTCTTTCTACTACAAAGACCAAAGAAATTTAAAGTTCTACTCCTTTCTCAGTCTCCATTTTTTAAGTTTAAAAAGGGAAAATGTCTCCTTAAGAGGTAGTTTTGAACAGATTAAAAGGGCACAAATTCCATGAAAGAATCTGGCAGATGGTGCCACACTCAATAAATATTCATTTTAAACCTTATAAGCCTTTATCTTTCCTTGAAGGTACTATTCCCACCATGAGCATAGCCACTTCCATGTTAGGTTTCCTGGAGAAAAGGCACCCTCCTTAGAGTCTTATGTCAGGATAGCACCCCTCTCTCTATATCCAAATTGGTCATTCCACTATCTTAAGGAACTCTGCTCTTTGAGTTTTAAACTCTAAACTCAGTCTTTGGCTCAATTTGTAAACAGGACGCACAACCAAAGACAGGAAGCCTTAACTGTAATGTCTCCAAAAAAGAATGGGACCAAATCCACATATGCATGTTAAGAAAGATAAGCCTAAATCTTATGAGAGATGGTGCTCTGAAATAACTAACATCTTTACCCCCTAGCCTGTACTGATGCCTAAAGATCTGTAAGTGGAGCTTGGACTCCCCGGGGTTAAAGGCACTGCCCCTATGAACATGCAAATATTCCTAGGAGTAATTTATCAGAGCCTTACCTAACAGAGTTTGAGAGGAAAGAATCTCCAGAAAAAAGTTCCAAAATGGGACAACAACCCACAGATAGCAGCCTTGGAAAAGGGGCTCTGTACAGCTTAAGAAGCCACAGTGCAAGGGTTTCAAGACAAAAACAAGTAGAGGTAGGTAGACACAGAGAGTATTTTTTACCTACTTCAAGATGTCGCCCAGCACAATGCCTGGTCACAAATGCTCATTGGGTACCCCTTGCATGTAATTGCATGGTTGGGCTCACCTTTTTTGCAGCTGCAAGGGTCAGTATGACAAATGCCTCTAGAACAGAGCTCCTCAAACTTTAACAAATACCTACGGGTCTTATGGGTACGGACAGACATTCAGTACTTCTAATAACTCCTAGGTGATGCTGATTCTGTAGGAATGCAGACAGTAGGCTGAATAAGAAGGGGATAAGAAAAGCACTTCCCTCTCCCCACAACTTCCACTACTCTAACCCAGGCTTCTGTCATCACCCCCTAAAACAAAAACAACAGTATGGGGGTGGGGTGGGGTAATGGTTTTGAGATCAGCACCTAATTCCTGGACTCAGACAGATATGAATTCAAATCCCAGTTCTACCACTTGGTAGCTGTCTGACTGTGGGCAAATCACATAATCTCTTCTCCATCCCTAGGTTCCCTCAATTGTCAGGTAATAATATCAACCTCAGAGAGGTTGTCAAGATTAAAAATAAATAATATAGCAAAGCATTTATCTTGCTGACTCCCCTAGATGGTCTTTTTGCCTTAAGTCAAACTATATTTAACTGCCAAGGTGATATTCACAAATTTTCACTCACCATATCTGTAGATTGCTTCATGGATCTCTTAGTGACTACCAAATCAAAGGAAAACCTTCAAATGAACTTGGCATTAGTAACGTAAGCCACACACTTACCTTCAAGATCCCCTACTCCTTGCTATTCAACCACACCTCCACTTAATACCCATGAAACCTATTTTCTCCAAGCAAATCACTTCACTGCTACCATTAAATTTACAATTCTGAAATGTAGACATAAGCATTTAATGTTGTAGAGAACTTCCAAACACTTCATTACACAAACCAGAAAATAAAAATCCAGAAAGGTGAAGTGACTTATCTTGACCACACAAATTATCATCAGTGATTTTTAAAACCTGGTTTCTAGAATTCTATTTCAAATTTTCTTTTCAGGATCTTTTACCGCTCTTTCCAGAAAACTTCAAACACCACAGGAAACTTAAATAAAAATTCCCCTCTACAATTTCCCCTAAAATCATTCAGAATTTAGGTATAAAGTTTAAGCTATGGTTTATTCACAACATATGACTGATTCAATCAACAAATTAGAGAGTAAGATCAATGAAACTAATTATTTGCCTTAGTACAGATCGAATCATAGGACATCACAACACAAAATGTTTATTATTTTTGGAATCGACCTTACTGTAGATTACTAGACTGCTAGTTACCTTATTTTAGGTGATTATCTTTTCTTTCCATCTCAATTACATATTCTTTAAGATAACTTTATCTTACTCATCTTTGAATCCCTCAACCCCTATCCAGACATCCTGCATCCTTCTTCATGTATGATAAAAATAACTGTAAATAAATAATAAGATGCATTGTTTTGCATAATGTTGACCTTTGTAATCTTTCTTATGTAATCTATTTTGCTATAGTCTTATTTGCCCACTTGTTTTATCTTCTCATTTAGTACATAAAAATATAGAAAGATGATTCTCAATGGCTATGTATCTTTAATTTACTCCTTTGTGACATTGTACCACAAAGATATTCCACATCTTTGTGCGTTACATCCTTAATATATATCTTTAGGGTTAAAAACATGTTCTCTACTTTTTTCCTTTCCCCAAACTATAATACCCTCCCTCCTGCCAAAATACTTGAAACTATGCTATACACATTAATAAGAGGGAATAACTAAAATAATCATTATTCTTAAACTGCTAACACATACACAAGCTAGCAATTTAGTACACTGAAATAGCTATTAAAGTTAAAAAACACAAGCATAATATTAATATGTTAATACACAAAATATGTTAAAGTTGGAAATTAAATTCTTAGTGGGCCAGGGGTACAGTTCAATGGTAGAGTGCTTGCCTGGCATGTACGAGGTCCTGGGTTTGATCCCCAGCACCACAAAAAAAAAAAAAAAAAATAGTAAATATTTAAATAATAAGAATAAAATACAAAAATATAATTTTAATTATTAAAAACCACATGATACCATGGTAGAAAATTACTTACCCTGAGTGATTAATATAAAGCTTCAATCTTTTTTTTAACTTTTCCTAATTATAAACATTGTTTTGTTTTCTACTGAGACCCAGAGCAAAATAAAACATCTACTACTTTTTACATCTTGACTTTTATAAGAACTGATTAGTGCTGCTCCTAATTTTACACACACACAAAAATACAGAAAGAAAGAAAGAAAAGAAAACTCCCTCAAAAGTTTGGTACATTAAATTCTTGCATGTACAGGCATCCTAGAAACAATCCTTTTTAAAGAAATCTTCTAGGATACGTGATTTACATGTTTTATAAATCCAAATTTTTATACACTGGGTTTTCTTAAAATAAGTTAAACCAAAAAGGAAAAGATATTAGTACTATTATAAATTATGATCAAAATATCTTAATCTTTTCTTTTCTTTTCTTTTCTTTTTTTTTTTTGAATTTTCCATCTGACTTTATTTCCAAATACACTTTCTTTTTTAAAAAACCAATACACTTTTCTGTGGGATGACAAATATCAGTATTAGGAAATCCAATTATACAAAAAATACTACATCTAATCTGGGATAGATATATTTATTTTTGGTAACATACATTAAGTGGCACTAATTACACAGTAACTATAAGGTAACTAACAGAGTAACAGAACTGTAACTCTGCCACAGCTGCATGGACTTGGGCCTTTCTGGCTGAGTACACTTTCAAACAACTAAATGCCCACCCCAGAGCTATGCCAATGAAATTGGCTGAGGAGTAAAGCTCCAAAGTGATGACTCACCAGATTTCCTTGCAGCTGACAGATGATAGGCAGGACATGTTAGTTATAAAGTAGTTACAGCCTAATTCACAAAAGTTACCGTTTCTCTTTCTAGAAAGAAGCAAGAAGTTAAAAAATTCTTTGAATTAGCGCCTGGTGTGTCAGGTGGAGTGCAGAGAGGGCTGTTAGAGCAGTGTCAGAAGAACTCTGGCAGGTCAGACAGGTTGGACATCATTATTAATCATGGTTTGGCTTCTAAATACTGGTAGCAAGATGACTTCTGATTTGTAATCTTAGGTAAATTATAGATAAATGAAAAAGGCCAGTAATCATATACTAAGATTAATAAACAGCACTTCAAAATTAACCGCATAAGGGCTGTGCTTGCAGCAAGGTTTCACAACACAAGGCACCCAGATTTTTTCTTCCCACGTCTGGCTTGCAGAGCAGCTCTCGTGGCCATTTCAAAAACCTCCCTCACTCCATCTTTGGTCTTTGCTGAACACTCCATGTACCCAAAGGCGCCAATCCTGTTTGCCATATCTCTGCCTTCTTCAGGTTTTACTGGCCCCTGCTTCATCTTGGCTAACTCCCGCCTTGTGTGCTCATCATTCCGAAGATCCTTCTTATTCCCAACCAGGATGATGGGTACATTGGGGCAGAAATGCTTGACTTCTGGAGTCCATTTTTCTGGGATGTTTTCTAAACTATCAGGGCTGTCAATGGAGAAACACATCAGTATAACATCAGTGTCTGGGTAGGAGAGGGGCCTCAGGCGATCATAATCTTCCTGCCCAGCCGTGTCCCACAAAGCCAACTCTACCTGCTTTCCATCCACTTCAATATCTGCCACATAGCTCTCAAACACTGTGGGCACATACACTTCTGGGAACTGGTCCTTGCTGAAAACTATGAGCAAGCATGTCTTGCCACATGCTCCATCACCAACAATCACCAATTTCTTCCTGATGGCAGCCATAGCTTACAAATGTGCTGCAAAATGCACGGCCTGTGACCAAAGTTGTATAAAGTACCTTGAACTTCCCAGATGAAAAGCTCAGACGACGACTCCGAGTCTGGCCTCTTTGCGCCGAGAACGCCTGTCCGTGAGTCGCAAGCTCTGAGACGAGGACGGGTAGCTCCAGAGACAACCGCGGACTAACGAAAGAACCGACGGAGGGCGGCTGGCTGCGGGCGGGGAGCGCGAGCGAAGGAGGGCGGGCGGCGGTGGGAGGGCGGGGAGGGACGTGCGCGCCCCCGGGCGCCCAGCGGTCTCGAGCCGGAGCCAGTCGTGGCCCCGCGTGCGGGCGCGCACTCACAGCTCAGCCACCCTTAATCTTTTCTTAATCCCAAGCTTTAAAAAAAACAGTTCCATCCTTAAACAAACATTGTTTCATATAAACCTACACCTTTACCAATGCCCAGAGCTTTATTTCATTTGGAAATTTTCAGTTAGAAAGATACCACGACAATAAATGATTCTTCTATATCTTCAGTTTCATTTTAGCCTTCCTACATTCACACCCTAGAGGTTCCAGATTCTTATCCACAAAGTGATTATGGTCTAGGACTGAATCAGATTTGTAACAAATGTCCACTGGGATCCTTCGACCTATCATTGATGAGCAGAGCCAATATATGTCTTCTAGCTCACTGAATCCTTTCACCTACCTCAGGGACTCTCCACAATACTATATGGTTAGAAGCTTTCTTTCACAAATGACAAAAATAAATGAAAAATGATTTCAGAACAGAAAAATGAAAACTTAAGTCATTATATAGTGTCTAAAGGCTACCTTGCATCTACCACTTGATGCCCAAATGTTGTAACATGTACAATATATTCTTCTTTAAGGTTTCAAGTCTCATTATCAACAATATTAACACTCCAATATATCTCCAAACGATGAACATGAAACTTCCACAGTATCTACAATAGCCTAGAAACCATTATGATTCATTTTTTAATATTCCAGAAAAGAATAAAGCTAATAAAATAAAACTTTTAATAAGTATGCTTTTTTAAAATATTATCATATCAAAATGAAGCTCTGATAGAAGTCATATAATCATTTAGAAATAAAATGTAAAGTCTTGCTCTTTTTCCTAAAAGGTAATTTAAGCATGGTAGTCTCTTTTTTTTATTTTTGCAATTGTTCTTAGAATGTATTTCTCTTCAAAAAAAAAATTGTCTCCAAAGAGAAAGAAGAAAAAAAATTACAAAGTGCAATATTTTTATGTTACAAGCCACACAAAAATCTGTCACTATTTATGTTACAATTCTAGTCATCAATAAGGTACTTTTTTTCGATGTACCACTCAAAAATCAATTATATCAACTCTTTTGTATAGAGAAGCAGCACACCTTTCAGGTAACTAGTATTAATGAGTGGACAGGACTATAGAATCTCCATCTGTTTCTCTGACAAAGCTGTGGCTACTCTTAGTCTCTCATTGAAATTCCATTAATCTGATGTACCAAGGTCCAATGCGAAAATCAAAACTCCATCTAACCCTTTATCAGCTCACAATAACCTACAAGTGAACTCTGCCTGTTAGCATGCAGCAAGTTATGATTTTGCTATCAATCAGGCAGCTGGCTAGTTAAAAAAAAAGAACGAAAGAAAGAAAAAAAGGGCAGACTGGAAACAGCGTGTCTGGCAGGGTTTGGAGATTTTGTTTTTGTTTTCTGTTTCATCTCTATTCATTTTCTATAGGGTGTCTGGACCTTGTGAAATTATGCATTATTCTCCTTGGCTGTGATTTAATTGCTACCAGCAATCAAGTCGAAGCATCACTGAAGTGTGCTTGAATTTCATTAGAAGATATAACTTATGCTGCTTTCCTACAGTACCTAATAAACCATAAAGAAACCAAAACACATATGGCTTGAGGGAATAACTGGAAAATTAGGTGGCCATTTGGGAACTGAGTGAACTTTTGAACCAGAGGAACAGAGAAAAAGAAATATTAAAGGGAAAGACAGACTTAGAATGCACATAGAGATGTGCAGGTTTGACCTTTTCAGTACCTTGAAAATTACATTAGCATTATGAAAAATACATATCATGTTTAGAGTTTATAATCCATCAAAGTTCAGATACTTTGTTAGTGCCTACCATAAGGTAAAAGTCAAAAGGACAAAACAACAATCTGATTTGACAAAAGGCCTTTTGGTGACCCTGTGCTAAATTGGTTATACTTAATGTCAAATACATTATCTTTTTTATAATTAATACATTATTAGACTGAGGTCATATAATAAAGGAAAATTTATTCAGCAAAGGGAAGAGAACATAGACAAAATCTAAATTGCAAGGAGAAAAACTGAGATGATGAGATGTTTTAAGAGTAAAAATTAAAAGTACAAGTTGAAAATTAACCTATAACAACATTCTTGGAAGAAAATGTGAAACCATTAAAAATCTTATTATTTACATACAAAAATAAATAATACTAAAAGTTAAATTTCCAACTTGCTTAAGAATTTCTTAAACATTAATAATATGAACTAGAATTTAACAAAAAAGCTGGTGTTACACAGAAATATGTCATCAATAATAGTCAAATATTGATAATCTTTTAACAGCAAATATTTTTATATTAACATATTTCCTGAATATATGTTTATGAAAACATGATAAATTGTTTATTCTTAAGAAAGAAAACATGACAATCATATAAAGACAACATAATTTAATAACAAATCACTCTGTGTGTAAAACTCACTACAAGATATCCATCTTTTGTAGATATTTAATTGCTGGGTCTTTATTAACTTGCAATTTTTAAAGAATGCAAATAATGCTCCTGTGTACATCAAAATAGTTATGCTATTTTGAGAAACTCTAAGCATATTTATTCTATGAGAACATTCTGTGTGCATGTGTGTGTTTATCCCTTGAGGTATAAATACTCTGTCTCTACATATGTATATATATACAAATACATACTCATTCATGTCTATGAACATTTTACAGAGAAGAAAAACAAATAATTGTAGTGCATCTAAAAAACAGTACAACATACATGATAATTCACTGTTTGGCCAGAAAATATTATTTCATCAATTAGAAAACATTTTCTAACAGAACCGCTTTAGAAGATAAGGGTAGAAAAGATAATGCTCTGTTTTAGAGATAAGTATGAATGAAGAAAAGTGTGCATCTTTGTAAAAGATAAAAAGAAAATATAAGAGAAAAATTCCCTTACTTTAAAAATAGAAATTAAATGTAAAATTCAACATAAAATGGATATGATTATTATTGCTACACATTGTACAAAGTTCTGTATATAAAAAAAGATTGTTTTGTTCTGAATCAGTGGTTAGAATGTTTATCACTTATGCATGTACTTGACTTATCCCTGTTCTGCAATAGACATAATTTTATACCTCATAAAAGCAATTTATGTTTCCAAAGGGAATAATCTGGATAACATAAAATGTGGAGTGCTCTGTTGCAGGAAGCATATTTTCATTCAGCAATTGTATTTAGAGATGGAACTGCACAGTTTGATCATCATATAGTGGCAGAAGACATTATTCATTTCTATGTCTATGTGAAACTTTGAGTGCCACAAATTAATATGCATAGCTAATTTATCAATACACATTCTTAATTTATAACTATATATATCACCCTTATAAGGTTTCTATCATGCAGTTGCACTCAATTGGCTATAACAGAGAAAGCACATGCTGTACTAAAACAAGTTCCATAACTTTGGCAACATTCAATAATGTTTTAGAAATTACTAAGAGATAAACAATCAACTTTATTACTAGTTCAATTAATACAAAATGTTATAATATTACTGCATAATATAAGGCATTTTAAATGACAATCAGAAAAATGAAAATGTGTATTAAAAGAAGCATCTGATAAAAACTGTCTCAATGTGAAAAGGCAACGTAAGAATAATTAATTTAATATTTCATGAACTCATTTTGTATAAAGTTTTTAGAAAAAATAGATCAAAACCTTTTTCATTATTTATAAAATAAATAATACAACAAGCCATTAACAAGCATAATAAAATTAAGCAAGAATCTGATAACATTAAACTAACCAACAAACTGTTACTAATAATATTCACATGGTGATGCAAACACTCTCCTAAAATTCTATTAAAGAAAATTTCCTAGAAAAAGAAGCAACTACAGTTTTAGGGAAACCTCAACTAGGACCACTAGAGAGAGCTCTTCGTTCCTTAAAAGGTTCTGGTAAAGGTGAGTTCATGGAAGACTCAGCCTTCAGCTTTGTGATAAGACCACTACCTCCACAAAAAGCACTGCTTTGTGTCAAAGTGTCAAAAAGTAAATTCTTATGGAAAAATGTCACATACCATCAGAGGGGGCTTCGTCATCTTTGTCATATCGTTCTCAGGCTAGGGAAATAGAGTCTGGAGGCCCAGCAAAAGGGTCATCATATTCTTCCCCCTCTTCTGCATCAACTGTAAAAGAATCAGAGAAATGACTTCTATGATTTAGTCATCTGAAATAATGTAGTCTTGTCAGAAAAGACAAGTTTTACTATTAAGCTCAGTCAATGTTATGGGAAAACAAACAAAACTTTTTGAATGAGGTAAAAACAGATTCTATTTTAGTTTGTATTCATTGTTATGTAAATGTGGCAAGAGTTTTTTTCAAAATCAATAGACAAGGGCTTATTTGTGACACAAAATAAGGACTGTATTCACAGTCCCTAAATTATGATGGTCTCTATAAGGAATTCAAAAGTAGAAGCAAGATAAAACAGATTGTGTACCTAAAACAAACAATCAAAATAACAATACCCCCAAAAGATGGAAAGTACAACAAAGAAAATAATTCAAGTAATTCCATTTCCCTACTCAGTAACTTTGAAAAATGATGATGAGAAATTGGTAATGTGAAGCCATATGAACACTTTTTATTTGCATTAAAATCACAGGATAACATTAGGGTCGATTAAAAATAGTTGTGTTTTTGAGAGTAGGAATCCTTAATGGGAAAACTGATTTAAAACTCACATAATCCTTTCAAAATACAAACAAGATGATTTATAAACACTTTCAGTTTTCATTCAGTGGTATATTGTCTTTTTCAAAAATGTTCTGGCCAGTTTTATACTTGATTTCCAAATCCTAAGTTGGTTTGTTTGGGGTTTGTCTGCCTGTTTGTTTTACTCAATCCCCCATGGTAAGATCTGTGGTTTGGGCTTTTTCCATATACTTAGTTGAAATAATTTTTTAATAAAACACTGAATCAGCAACTTGCTAGCCCAGTAATATACAAGCACTCTTTTTTTTAATAGATTCAACATTAAAGAAAAACATATGCTTAATATTATTATCAAGCATCTAACTATTAACAATTCGAATTACCTGTTACAGATTCAAGAGAAAACCAGCCACCACAGGGGTGACTCAAAAAGTAGTGAAAATCCCGGCAGGAAGCCTAAGGTTCTACACTATTAAATTTGAGCCACAGTTTCTGGGCAGATACAGATTAAAGCTACTCGTCTCTCCAAAAGGATGTCTGTATGCCCTGATACCTATTTGCTGGGTGGGTGTCTCCCTACTTTCCAGCAGAGAAAAATTTTCATAGAGCAAAGAACCTCTTTCAAGACATGAAAACAACAAGAGCAGAATACAGGGATGGCTTTCTCGTCATTCTTAGGATTTCACCTCTAGGTATAAAAAATATGATGATGTTTCTTCCCTGATTGAAATTCCAAGGAATACACATAAATACTTCTCATTCTTCAGATTTTAACTTATCTTTCTTTTGACATGTTCCAAGTACTTTTCAGAACACTCAGTGATCCCTTATAATATTTCTTTTATGAAAGCAAAAGTGCTCAGATTTCAAATATAAGGTAAGAAAGAACTTGAGAAAGTGCCACCCAAAATATTTTGAACAAGTTATGATAGTACTTGGGATATGCAGTAGCAGGGGGTCACAAAATTCTCAGGTTACTTTTAGCTGCTAGGATATCCTTATATTCTTAAGAAAGAACTTGTATGATATGTATTTTCTGAGGATGTTTTGTATCACACACACTAAAACAATAAAACTTGCTGAAATTTTTTAAAAATGCAGGTATCAGGATACTTCAAATACATCATCGAACTTAGCACTTAGCATACTATGTTGTTATGACTACAAAGGAAACAACAAAACCAAAGAATATATGAAAAGTATTTTTTAAAAATTCATATTCTCAGGTTTAAATCTCTTAAACTCTATGTGGAAATGAGTGGATAATTTAAAATCTTTGAAAATCAGAAGTAGTTTATTGTCCTTTGATAATATCCATTGTAAGTTTTTATGTGTACACATGTGTAAAGTGTACTATACACTCATACACACAGATGAACATACTATCTACATTTGATATACACATTCTCTATTACACATATAACAAAATTGTTATTAAGCTATAAACTCAATATTTAATAAAAGAATATTCTACATAAATTGGTCACTGACATGTTGAAGACTTCTGTGATTTTTGTTTTTTTAACCTTTCGATTATAAAATTGTCTCCAATTTACTCATTCTAAGAAATGCAGTTAATTGAAAGTATTATTTTTTCTAAAAAAAAAATCAGTGTGACATTTATCTAAGACAAAATAAATTAACTACTGCTATTGGCCTGATCTCTTCCCTCCCCATCCTCACCCCCAACTTCCTTTGAATTCACTCAGTAAAGTATCTCTGTAGCATTGGTACAGAGAAGTCCCTTTTTAAACAACTGCATTAAGAGAAACATATTATCACTTTTCATCATGACCTTCTTCATCTTACTGTTGGCTCAGTGACGGATGCCCCATCCCTTTTCCCCCTCCCTTAATCTTGTTTTTCAACCCAATAAAGTAAGAATTGCTCTCTTATAAGGAGCTTTAACTGAACACAGGGGTCGCTGTTGAGTAGTACAAAGCATTTTTCCTCCCCAGGGGCTAAGTATCTGAAGCTTACCTGCAAAGACTTCTATAAATTAAAGGGAAAATGTTCAACTTGTGTTTATGTAATAAAAAACTGAACTCCAAATCAACAACAGGCATCAGGTAAATGTATCCAATACAATTTACAGACATAATTGAAAGCATTACAGACTAATCAGACATCGAAAAGAAAAGCGTGCTCAAATGAAATGTCTACAGAATCATTAGTTGGCAGTCATTCTATTACAATCGCACATAATGTCAGTGGTGCCTTGAGCCTGTGCCAATGAAAACAGCATAAATTTTGCATCTAATTTCTGTGGTCATAAAATTAATGATCAGTTTAAAAATACTTCTTTGTAAAAGTTATTGCGCAAAGAAAAGACATGAATGTGTCCCTGTTATGTACTCACAAGGATAATTATGGGGTTGTTGCTCATTAATACTGTTTCTTGTTTCCCTAGAAAAGCATTTGATTTATCCCACAACTTTCAAAAGTTTAATTAACGATACAAAGTTAACAGCCTAAAAGACAATAATCCAAGGCTTCCTGTCCTTTAATTTCAGTGGCAGCTTAAATATCATAACAGAATCGACATTTAATCATACCACAGCAGCATATTTATCTGATATCTATTTTTAAATTCATAATAGTTGGGTTCAAATCACTATGGCTCATCATCAATTAACATTTCCCTAAAGGACCAGAGAGGCAGCCCAACAGTGACTCAACTCTGCTTCCACTGATCTCTACCACCACTGAGGGTGAGTCACCCCAATTTACTGCTTGTTTTCAAATACAGTGCTATTTTAAACACAATCAGATAAACATTAAATAGCTAAAAACATTAAATCCCTAAAATTTAGTATACATTTTATATACACACACCAAAATATTACACTGTACCCTACAGCCATATATAATTGTTAAATGTTCATTTAAAAGAAAAAATAATAAATTAATAAAACAATTTAGGTGGTAACTATTCCTTCATACAGAGCATGAAAGACAAACTTGGCGGGGGGATTAGTCTATATGAAAACAAATTAGCTTCTAATTCTCTACTTGGTTTACTTGTCTGATCTAATTTTAGAATTAAGCATTTAACTTGCAATTTCCTAAGGGAAGTTAAATTCTTTAAAGGATATTATAGGTTACTGAAAAATAAGAAGATCCTCCTCATAATTCTTCCACAATAGGAAAGCTAATTCATAGCATGCAAATAGTAAACACAATTTCTTACACCAAACTGAGGCAGAGCTTTAAAATAAACACACCATTTCTCAAGCACTGCCTCAGAAATAGACTCCTACCACTACAGGTCCCAGAATCTCAAACATGCTGACTACGTTTGTACAAGGGCAAGGGTGGGGGTGTGTGGTGGAAGAAAAAAGCTGTAAGTTTTCTGCTCAAATTTCATTGTGGAGCCAGCTTTCAACAGAAAATGTACTACGTTAGGAATAGTAAAGGAAAGCAAATTAAACATCATCCAAACTTCTGACTTTTCTGCTACTCTTAAGGATTCCATTAGAACAAACTAAAATAGTTCCCTTCTTACCTAACAGTACTGCTATTTTTAGCAAGTTATTAAGCCAATTGATAAACTTAAGAAATAGTACAAATGATAAGGTCAAAGGAAATTGCTTTCTAAGTAAATCTATGCATATTTAACAATATCAATGAAGTCTTAGGGGCATAATCTATTAAATAAATTTTTGCAATTAAGAGGGACAAGATCTTTTAAAGTAGAAAATGGAATTCTTTTAGCTATTGCACCTGAAACAATAAATTCACATTTTTAAAAATGTAGATACTAGAGATACAGTATGGAAGAGTAGTAGATTCTTTTCCTAGCATATATGAGGTCCTAGGTTCAATCACCAGAACTAAAAAAAAAACTTTGGCATTAATATTTTACAAATTTGAAACCATTCTCTTGAAGTAATTATCATTTAATATGTCTGCCCTTCTTTTAAAAATTAATGATAATTTCCTAAAAATTATTTGAAAACTGAACTTACGAGTCAAGATTAACTTAAATCTTCTTGACAAACTAAGTTGAATTAGTTAACATGCATTAATATATTATTTACTGAACACTACTATGTGACATGAACAGGTATTTTCACATTGTCTTGTTTCTATAAATCAGTCTATAAGGAAAGTAATCACATCCAAATCATCACTTGAGTAAAATGAGACTAACAAAAGGTCAAGCTACAACTACAGTGTAAGTAAACATTTTTTATCATGTATCTAATATATACTAGAAAATTCTAGTTAAAGTTCAGTCAATAAATAGTCTTTACTCAAATAATAATCTATTCTCATTACAAAAATAATTATTTTGAGTCACACTTAAGAGACCTATGATCTTGTTATGTGACAAAATAATTAAAAAATAATCACATAGCATAATTCCAGTACATGGAAGATAATATATTCTTTAGAGAGTTGGGCTATATTGCAACTAGGAAACTAGGGTTAAATGGTTATTCTGTCTTACGCAATACTTTGAGGTAAGAAGGCACTCTCTAGATAAAATGAGCAATATTTCAAATGAATAACAGGGACTAGGTCAAGCAAAATGTGTTTTAGCCAACTGGATTCAAATTCTTTTTAAATGCAAGTACAATTAAAGAATTCAGAAAATCAACTGAAAAGTATTCTAATGTCCAATTTGTCAGATCTCTTTATGGGGAAATCTAGACTGGAGCATTTAAGGAGACAAAAGGAGAACTTTCATAAATTAAAGAAATGAAAAGGGAAATTTTTAAAAATAGTTTTCTATGGAAATAAATATAAATAACAATTTAAAAATTAGCTTAGTGGAGCTTTATTATGTAGGAGCCACTGTAATAAAACAAGTTTCTAACAATACAAACTATTCTCACACACAAAAAAAACTAGAAATGAAAAACAACCTTCTAATATTTATGCAGTTTACTATATCATATTAATTCAATTAATTTAAGAATTGAACTACTTCAAAGTAGACATTCTATATTATTTAATCTCAGAATGAGAAATTGTAGCTGGAGTGTAAGGAGGAATTAGGATGGGAAGGAAGGTCAACAGATAGATATCTGTACATTAGAGAGATTAAAAACTTTTTGAAATGAATAAATCTGAATTATTTATTTTATTTAAGATATCTGCTTCTTTTTTCTCCCAATAATGGTATTAAAATGGTATTTAACTATCATTTTAAAAATCAAGAATATGAAACAGAGGAAAACAACTTTAGTTTAATTCATTGTGACCCTATTTTGTTATGAGAGAAAGAAACAGGAAACCAGCCAAAAGGAATTCTTCGCAGTTCTCCCTGGATGAAGATAATCTGAAACCCATAGGGGAAAATGTAAGAGGGGAACAGCATCTCCAAAACATACTTAGGATTGAATATTCTCAACGTAGGTATCTTATAATAAATTCCTACTGTTAAAAAGAAAAGTGTCTTGAATAATTGCTTGGCAATTATTAAGTCTGCACCCTTTACTATTCCTATAAACTATAAAATAGTCTTTGTAGAATCAAGTTGAATATATTTGTAGGGTAAAATGGCATAAAATTACTCAGCTTCTCATATTCCTCCAAGGTATACCTCCAATTTAGCCACAAGCTTACTTTTGAGAAGACACTGCTGATGATTAGTTAACTCAATATAGCAGTATTGAACTACAAATTAGTTATTCGGAGGAAAATGATTATGGCGAATCTCTGAATTCCACACTATTTGAACTCTTTTTCTCAACTCATTTTTCAATTTCTATCAAATAGAAATATAAACTTCCATTTTCTTTGGAGACAAATAATGCATCTCTGTAATGTAATTTTAATATCCACACACCTGAACAAGTTCTAAAACAGAATTCCAAAGGGAAAGTTCCTACACTATTACTGAACCATATGCAATTATAGAATGACTTCACATTATCCTGCTTTCTTAGCTTAAATTTTTTTTAATATACAAATAATTAAGCCACAATGAAGAGTTCAATAAATAATCACCAGAACAAAATATGCCTTTTAAGAAGAGAGGCAGAATCAAATATTTAATATTCCTCCATAATAGTACACTGTATAAAAGCTATCGTAATTAAAATACATAAATTCATTTCTATATTTGACAAAGCAAAAAATACAACAGGATTAAGTCCATAGTTTAGAATTCATTGTGAAACACACCAAAAAAATTGGGTATTGGGGGACAGAAAGAGTTTCCTGCTCTACTCTTTAATAGTGTTTTGTTTTTTTGTAAAATCTCAATACAGGGGGGAAAAACTTCTTATTCCCTTAAATCATACAGATCTTGATGATTTAATGTGAAAAGAAACTGTGACTTCCTTTTAATTGATTTTAGGTGTGTCTGGTAGGTTTGTCTGGTAGTACTTGGTTTATTAGAACTGTCAATATCCTCTCACTTATCAGTTGGCACAAATATTAATTATTCTGTGGGTCCTGGTAACTCCAGTTAGAAGACATTACACAGTTTATTCCCCAAACCCAGAACCTAGCTCAGTCCTGGTCAAGTGACCTCATACTGTGACCCTCATGCCAGCATCCACAAGCTGGAGGTCATGACCTATGAATTAGCATCAGGGAAATAAGGGCCATACTGAGTTCCCCTTACAGAACTGAAAACATGAAGTAGTAGGAACTTCCTATGGCTTTCCTGATCTAGCCTTCAGCATGTTAAACAGCTGCCTCTCAAATCTAAAGGAAGACCAGCACTTTCACATATTTCAAAAACAGAAAACTGAATCCCCATCTCTACAAATCTCTAAGAAACAACAGATTCATTCAAATCAAAAGAACAAGGGAAAAAAACTAGCTTTTGAGAAAGATTTTACTCACGTTATCAAACAAAAATTTACAGTTTTTATTTTTGAGGTTTTTTCCCCATAAATGGTAGGTTTATTTATTTATAAAGTCACATCCTAAAAATATTTTAAGTAATAAATAGTTTTTAACAACATTTGTTAACAATATGCTCCCAGCTGGTAGAAGGCCTCTGTCTAGTTGACAAAAGAGATTTTGAGAAACCTTCAAGTATCAGGCCCTATGATCCCCAAATCTCATGGTCTCAGAAATGGAACAAAGATGCCCTTGGAGTTTTTGCCCCTCCTGCACCACCTGCTCAACACTAAGACTTCATTTATCCAGATCAGAGCACCTCTCTTGGGACCCCAGGCCTTCAGGCATGCAGCCACCTGCATGTTTTTAAAGTACCCTTCAAAAACATGACCTGTGAACACCCAGCCACAGGCCCTTCTGCTCCTGCCATTCTATAAAATAACCTCTGCAATATTAGATAGCATCAAGTTCATATCTCACCACTGCTCACTGAATTCTTCCATGTGTAACTGCAAGTATATACCTGTCCTAACAAATCTCTGCCACAGTGAACTCCGAAGAAACATGAAACCTAAGAATGTTAAATGCATAAGATTTCTCCATTTGAGGAATGCAATGGATTCTGGATATGCTTTTTATTTTTTTTCTCAGCAGGGGGAGCTAGCACTCTCATCTTGAAGGTCTAAATATATAACATGGAAATTTAAATTTTGATTTCAACTATCAAATTTCAGGATGTTAGACTATTCTATTGAAAATCTCCACAGAGGAAAAAAAATGTTCAAGTTTGAAATTTACCTTTGTCTTGAAATTCGTGAAGATAGCTGCAAAATAAAGAACATTATATTTTAAAATGAGGTTGGCAAATCAGAGCAAGGTCTAATCAGTGGCACATTCAAATCTAAAATCTATGTTATATATATAGAGAGGGGAAAATTATTTCCTGTGCTGAAATGGCAATTCCAAAATGCTTAGGAATATATAGTGAAATTATTTTTAAAGATCTGAGTACAGTAATAAAATGAGGATACATCTTTAATACCTATAACATATGTTTATTCATTTAATGTAGTAACAAAAGAATTCTCTTTTCAGTGTCTTAAGGTATTTTCCATATTTATATTAAAATCATTAATTTACCCATGTCTTATCATTTAAATCAAATATACCCTCAGATAATCAAAATAAACAGTTAATTTTTGCTAGAATGCTTACAAAAATACACAGTCAAGCACCTCCCAAGAAAGGGGTATATAATAAGCATATTTGTGGAATATATTTTTGTCTTTTAAAAAATACTTAACACCAATAAATAAACATTAAAATTTCACTCCATGATAATCAATTCCTTATTAAAATCAATTTCTAATTACAAAATTGTTTCTAAGCAAGAAATCAGTAATTAAAGGCAGGTGACTTACGTATACTTTACATCTTTTATCTTCTTAATAAGGGATTCTCTCTTTTCCTTTGCTTTCTTGGATAAATTTTCCCCTCTCAATGTGTCTGCTACAAATGTTTCAACATGTAAATCATGAAATATAAGAAACAGGATACAAATTATGGCAAAGAATCATTTTTTGTGAAAACAAATACAACAATGGTTGTTTTTACATATAAGCATTAATATCTGTACAATTCGGTATAGCTATTTATCAATCCAGAGTATAACCGTTGAAGTGTGTTTCACATACTAAGATGGACAAATCTGCTCACCACTTAGCTAATAAAATTTGTATGCTGTACTTACGCTTAGCAAAGCAAATGCTATTTGAATGTTTGGCACCGTTAAACCATGAAGAAGCACACGAGTTTTAATAAACTATGGTGCCCATAAAACAAATTCTCATACAAAAGCAAGCACCAAGCTTTTATGCATGTGTTACTATCATTTTATTGTATTCTTTGAGTTCCTATATGAACAAGACATTCACAATAGTATATCAATATAAGTTAATGTCTCTGGCAAGGGTCTGTTTTTCTCAGATCCTTTCTATAATCCACTTTCAGGAATACATAACATTTAATGCTTTGAAAGAAAAAATAAATTCCTTTTTTCTAGACAAGATTCCCAAATCACACCCTGTTCCTTACTACTGGCCCCACCCACTCTAGCCACTCAAATAAAAAAGAAAACCAGCTGAGTAGTTCTGTGAGCTCCTGCTTCCTACCATGGTATTTCCACCTGTATGTTTCTTACATAAAGGAAGAAGTAGAAAAATAGATTCTTCTGCTATTTAAAAATATAGTATCCAAGAAATAAGATTTCTATGACCTTATGTAACATTGCCTCATAAGCATCTTTTTAAAAATGTTAGTAAAGTCCTCAATTATTTTCTTGTCTGGTTCTCTCATGTAAAATTTCAAGAAGTCGTTGCTCAACTTATTTTTATGATAGTTCCAATCTCATTTTTTATGAAATACCATATACCTTAGATTAATTTACTTTCAGAGTTTCAAAGTTCATGTTAAAATATCTAATATAGAAGATACCGTTAAATTTTTTAAATAGGCATGGCTATAATTCATCCATATTTCATACTGAAGAGATATATATGTATGTTTTACTTCCTTTTATTTAACTACATTGTATCCAAACTCACACTGATAAAAAGATGGCATCAAAACGTAGTATTGTATATAAGTAATGCAAAGTAGTATAATAAAGAATCCCTCAACTACACTTATAAGTAACTATTTAAAACTAATATATAGGATATAATGTTTGTAATCAATTTTAAATCTTGATCACAGCAATATTTTGATCCAGTAAGGAAAAATGATTAAATTATGATACATTCATTACAAATGTGTAGAGGTATTTTTTCATTAAGTCAAAATGAAAAGTGAATGAATTAAAATTTGATCTTGCAGTAATTTTTAAAAACAGCTTATGGTTTGAAGTCCATTAACAACCAATATGTTAAAAGTAAGTATAAAATGAAATGGAAGCAAAATGTCCCAGTTTCTCTTTCCTGGAGCTGCCCATTTTGAAGAGAGGACATATATAATCCCAAACCAGTGCAAATTAGACCCAGACTTCTCAACTGAGTTCAAAATAATGAAATTTATGAGAAACTTGCACCCAGAGGAGCAAGCAACCTCTGGACATTCAGACATTAGCTGAAATGGAAAAGATCATTGGCTTCCCTGAGATCCATACAGTAATATTTCTTCTTTTAAAAAAAAAAAAATGGAATAAGGAAAGAAGTAGCATCCCTACTGCTGATGGTTCCTTCCAAGTGGACTCAATACTTGAGAGAATCACTGGCACAATGACTAGTGAATAGTCTGCTTAATGTTATTTTCACTCAATGTTTGTCTTTAATTCCCTCTTCCACGAGTATTTAATTGCCTATTTTACATTTTCATTATACAATCCAAGTTTAAACAAACAGGATCTATTTTCTATGTCTGGAAGCAATAACACAACGAATTGCAGCTCAAGAGTTATTTCTTTAAAAGGTCATGTTAAAATATCTAATATTTCAGTTCTATAAAAACTCAGAAAACTAAAAAAAGGCTGTAATACTCTATGTAGTACTTTCTTAAAACCTCCAATAAATATTTTTTAGATACTACCCATGCTTCTACTTGAAAATATTTGTTGAGAGTGTGAGATTGCAGGAAAAAATAAGTATTTTTTTAGGGGAGGGGATTAAGAGATTGGGTAAGGAAAAAGATCTATACTTTTATAGTAGTCTTTTAAATACATCTATCCTCAAGCTTTTCCCAGAAAAGGATTTAAGGCAACTGAAAGGATTTAATAAACATTGACTTCATCAGTATTTTCTCAAAGGAGATGTAGAGAGTAGGAACTACTTTGATGTTTATTTTAATAAATAAGAACTTTAACTGGAAGCGGCTTTTGCTATAATCTATTGTTGTCAACAGATTCGGCTGTCTGTTAAGCTTTTGAAATCTAAGTCACGGCTTAAAATCTACACATCTACACTTTGTCCTTTTATTTTCAGATCCAACTAAAGCAGCCTCTCCTAAGCACCGGAAGCTCCCTGGTTACTGGGACAGCCTTTGGCCCGGTGCGTTGGCACCGACTTGGCTCCCCAAGCGCAAAGACAGAACATGCACAGAAAAGAAGTAATCTTAGGCTTTCCTAGGAGATGCTCCAGCTTTGCCCACCGAGAAACTCCACCCTCGACCCTCAACCCTGCGGAGTGTTAAACACAGGTTTCCCTATCCACCAAGCTGTGAGCAGGGAGAGATACCGGTTTGGGGCAGCGCCCTCGCCAGACAAATGGGGCTGGATCTGCGGCTTTGTAGCTCAAAGCCAGGGTAATATTTCAAAAGCGAGCAATAAAAGTCTTCTGTGAATCAAGCGCTCCTCTGGCTGGTTGGAAAAGAGATTTGAAGCTTTTTTACTGGGCTCTAAATAGCCTTGCTGTAAACTAGCAAGCACGGTAAACTAGCAAGTGCCTTAGCCTTCTTTTACCTTCCTTTAGGGGTCGTGTCCCTCGGTTAATATGTAAATTTCACTGACTCCTGACTGCCTATAATTTGGGGGGAAAGACTGTAATTGGATTACAAGAAAAGGTCAGCCTGCCTTGCTCGCTCGCCCTTTGGCCTGAATTAGAATTCCTTTCTCAGAGGGAAGGGGTTCCATTCACTCCCGTGGGCACCCGCCGCAGGAAAGACACATGTGGGGGCCTCGCTGGCTCTTGCAGAGAGGGCGCTGGAAAGGGATGTCTCCAGCACACCAAATCTAACTGCTCCCCACCCGCAGCCTCGGAAACTGCCGGTCTGCACTGCCAGCACTTTACTCCTGAATTACCCTATCAGCCCCCACCCACGCAAGACATCATTTAAAAAAGTTATTCTGGCAAAAGTAAACGTGGGGGTGATCTCTGCTGCTGTTTACACCTTGACATGGTCAAGAGTAAGCCTTATTTCCAGGAACTGTGGTAAGGATCTGGGGGAGAAGGCCGCTGAAGAGATCAGATTTACAACTGCTCTGTAGATAGATGTTAAGGTCTGAAAACAAAAATTAAAAGATGACCTGTTCTGGCTCAGCAATCTTAAACAGTTTAAGTTAGAAACCTCTCAATAGCCATTTAGACCCTTAAGAGATAAACACTTAACACACAACTCAATGACCGGTACTCCGACTTTTCTTGCTTTTTTTTTTTTTTTTTTTTTTTTTTTTTCTTTAATACAGAGAAGACCCATAGGAAAAACTGCCACCCGATCTTCCTCTAGGGTCCTGAGTGATAACAACAGGTATCTAACACACACAGGCTGCTTTCTACCAACTTCTGTACAGATCAAACAGTGAAAAGGTGGAACCACACAAGATCAGAAGAGTTTTAAAATTCTTGCCAACAATACTATATGTCAGATTCTCCAAGTTGAGTACCTAGCCCAGGTTCCCACTCTTGGAGACAGTGGAGCTTTGACCACTTGTCCTCACCATCCCCCACTACTAAAGAGCCTGCAATAAGACCTGCAGGCTGGAGTCTGTAAAGAGCCACAAGGGTCACACACACACACACACACACACACACACACACACACTTTCTCCCTAGTCCCCAGTACCTACACACAGATACACAGACACCTCTGAATTGTAAAGAGCAAGAGACAGGAACTCAGCTGAATCCACCACCATTTGCTCAGCCCAAGATCAATAAAATAAGTGTAAAAACCAATCCCACAGCACACCAAATGGCTTTACTACTTAATTCCACATCTTGCTCTACTTTATGAACTGGGTCAGATTTCACTTTGTATTCACTGAGTTGTGCTGTCACCAAACTTAATGTGCTAAGGATAGTAGCCTAGACTGAGGCTGAAAACAAAAAGACACTTTTCTGTTAAAGCAGGGAATGATCTGACCAAACAACTACTGGCGAAAATATAAAAATCAATTAAACTGGGTACATTCAGATCAATGAAGCCAAATGTCCAAAGTCAGAAAATGGCTAATTGAAAAGTTATTGATTGTTCAACTCAATGTCCTTGATTACCTAGCACTTTTATAGGTTAGGGTTGAACTGTTGACTTCCCAAACATAGAAAAAGAAGACATAAACAAGCACAGTTTTCATAGTGCAATGGCTAAAACACACCTGAGCCTTATAATCCAATCATCCTATAAAATTTTCAAAATTGGGTTTACAAGCTAAATGATTTATGGTGATAGAAAGCTGGGCTGTTGAAACATAGGGCTGACCATCTTTCAACCTCTAAAAGATGACTCCTGATAAATAGCACTTTACAATAATCAAAATCTTTTTACCACACATTCTCAAAGAAGCCACAGTGAATAACACATTAGTCTGAGATTTACACTATATTCACTGTTAGGCAGCCTCTATTGTAATGTGTTCAGAATGTGATTGAAAAAGAAATGTAAACTCAGTGGAATGAAAAAGATAGACTTGGCTTTAATTGAAAAAGACAAACTAAGTGAATAATGAGTATATAAAACCTAGCCTATGCCACTTTTATCACCCATATATGACACTTAATCTTAAATTTATGAGAGACAACTGAACTGTGTTTCAAATCACCAGAGGCTTTTCTTACTCTGTTATTTCTTCCTTCTTTCTAGCAATACTTTAATGCTGGTATCAGTTAGAGATAACCCCACTTGGAAATTTTTCATATACTACTCATTTTTTAGTATATTTAGGTTTCTCTTTTTAAAGTAAACCAATGTTAATTAGGACTATAAAAATTGTGGATAACATCAAGAGCCTTACTTGGTAACGTAGGATGAAAATACTTTGAATGGACATGCTAAAATACCCCCTCCCAAGAAAAAGTAGGACACTATAGGCTTAAGATAAATACGTAAATAATCTTCCTTAACACCACATCTTAATTCACCTATATTATTTGACCCAGTCAAAAAAAAAAAAAAAAAAACACCTCAATAAACTTCTGATCCCTTGATTTACAAGCTCATATTCCTATTTTTAGAAGAGAATATCTAAGACTATCATAGATTGATTTTATTTTGAGATTAAATGTTCTCTTATCAACTCGAAGCTCATCAGTTACTGCTGCCAAAACGGGGCAGGCTTGTTCTTGCTCTGTTGGAAATTCCAGGTGCTAAGAAGTAGGTGACTATTGGTGACTCAGTAGGTAGCACTCTTCCCTTTACATACTCAGCCAATGCCCCAGAAGGAAGTCATGGTACACTAGATACACCATAAATAATTCTCAGAGGAAAAATAAAACCAAAATGTTGACCGAATTATAAATAGGGCTTTGGAAGGGTGGAAATCAAACCATACTACACTCAACATTGGAAAAAAAAAATTCTGCCTCTGTTTCAACTGAATTGTATTCTTTATCTAGTGCCCTAAAGGGATTATCAATTACAATGTGTGAAGGTTTTAAAAAACAAACAAAAAAGTGGAAATCTCCAATAGAGAAAAATACGATATTTCTAATAAAACTGCCATGTGATCAAAACCTCAAGGTCACTTTGCAGAAATCATATAGCCGCTTTATTGTTTGGTTTGGTTTTGGTTTTTTAGCGTACTGACAACTATTTTCTTTTAACATCTGCTTCATTTTCTAATTTAATAAAAAGAAGATAACATCTGTTAGCTTTCCTTTTAAAAGTTGGTGCTGTAAAATGAGTGAATGAGAATGAATTAGAATATCTGACTACAAATCACTAACAAACCAATATTTAAAGGGTGATTAGACAAATGAAGTGGGGTAGTGGGCAGTGGTTCCAGTACTTCTCACTTTCTTGACTGCCAGAAGGGAAAAACTCACATAAATCAAAGCTATTCTTGCTGTTAGTCCTAGTCAAAATATTTGGATGTGGAAGATTAAATTGACAAGATTTGGGATTATCTTTTGATTTTAATTATCGTGGTTAAACCTGTTGTTCTATCATTAGAGGGGGAAATCAAAGGTTGCCTATAGTATAAACAGTGGTTCAAAATTCTAAAAACTCTTTTCTATTTATATAACCAGAAGAATAATTCAACACTTCTTTTAAAAAAAGTATAGGCCTTCAAGATTTAATATACTTAATTATAGAAAACATAACTCTATATTGCCACTTTCCAAGGGTATCATTAAATGTGATTTAAGACTAATAACCTCTATTCTTCACATTTCTATATGATGTTTTTAAAAGGGGAAGGAACAGGGGACAAGTATTGAAAAAGTAGCCTAAAACTACCATAATCAAAAAGAAAAATAAAGAACAAATATGATAACATACACTTCAGAACCTGTCCCCATCAAGCAGTTAAATGTCAAATACTTAGCATATATGACATAATGATTTGGATAATGGGCACATGGAGCACAAAGGGAAATGTCTTAGGAAATATTATTCTGAAAGCCATTATCTTTGACTTTATGTTCTTTTTCCTCAAAGCAAAGGGTTTTAAACTTCTAGAAGATTTAGCTTCTTATCTTCTCTACCTTGGAATTCTAGCACCATGCCATGTATTCTCAGAACACTTGACTGTTCACAACCACCAGTACCAATATCTCCTTCTCAATTAAAAAAAAAAAAAATATATATATATATATATACTAGATAAGCCAGCAATAACTCTAAAATTCAAATCAATACAAACACCTCCTCTATAGTTTTAGAATTTTAAATTTAATCATGCACTATCACCAATACACTTAAATGATGCAAATCCTCATGCATCCCCAAAATGTTTTTGAATGAACTGTGCGAAATAACTGCTGAGAGCATCTATTCTCAAAGCCTTTTCTACCTCAGAAAAGATTTTAACCTATTATGTCCCATTGTCCTATACATAGGACACATAGGAAAACATACATTGAGCAATATCATAGGTGTCCTATAAAATTTTATAGGTTTTTACAGGTGTCCTATGTATGGGACATAATGAGTTAATTACAGTTAAACATGAATATTAACAACTTTCCTTGAATACATTTTTAAAAGTTTTAAACCCTGACAAAACTGCTTCACTTTTTTGATTTAGTTAAAGATATGCCTATCCCCCAATTCATATCCACAGCTCTTAAAAGTATACTTTGAAAAAACAATACGATCCAAATTTATAATCTCCAAAGTTTTAACATTTTAATATTTGTTTTTAATACTCATGTATTTTAATATGTGATGTACTTTAGTCATATGGAATAATAAAAATGTCAATAAAATGATTTGGGAAAAGGTAATTTCAGAAATTATGCTAATATACTACCTGACTTAAGAGAGATGGCAGAAATATATAGGAAGTTAGCATTGGCAGAGAATTAAAATATGTAATTCTGAGCTCTTAGTTTAATTTACACAAGTAAGAGCCACATGAAAAACTATGACCTATGGGAATCAAAGAATAAATAGTTTTATAACCCATATATTCTACTTCCTGAAATAGCACATAGCTTGCTGTGGGAGCTGTCAAACTTTTGAAAACATGCAAGCAGAGGTTTGCACCTTTTTTCTTAAATTCAAAAACATAACCTGAAAATGATGACATTTATTTCTGACATAATGATAAACACTTCTCTATTGTGGTTATCAAAATTTTCTAGATGAGCAAGGCCAGCACTGGAATATCAAAAATGTTAACTGTGGTAAAACAAGATTTGTATTCATGTGAAACTCATATAGTGGGGAAAAAGCTGGCTTTGCCTCTATAGTTCTTTCAATGTTTTCCTTAGTGCTACCCATTAATGAGGACAATCATTTCTTAAAGTGAAAGAAACACTGACCCACTACAAAGGCATTCTTCACACTATCATGTTCATACAAACATAAGTCTTCATTCATGCACTTAGTTTTATTTTCTCAATCACATTATTGATGCTAACCCCCAAAATAGTGTACCAGTATATTATTATTAGAACATTTGCTGACGCACTGCTATACAAACAACTTACTACTTCAAATATCACATTTTTTATGGCAATGCTTTTATGAGTGAAAATAAGTAACTTATAACACAGGCATCTGAAAGAATATGTTTTAATACAGTTGTGATCAATATTGAAAGATAGAGACAACTAAAGTAAAATAATAAATTCCGTTTCCAGAATTCAGACATACATGAGACAAAGTAAATGATACTAAGAATTCCAGAACATCAGAACACGCAAGATTTGCGCTGCCCTATAAAGATATATTTTGTACTCTAAAGTTTTCATTGGTCCTTAGAGAAAACGCACAGCTCCACATTCAGAACATTACTGAATAGTAGAGTTGTAACGGCATTGAAGAACCACATTTTTAACTCCTAAATAACAGTTCCCATAAATAGGAATGTAAAACTGAAAAGGGGAAGATGAGGGTGCAAGGATAAAGCACTTTCATCATGTGACACAGGAAGCAGGACTTTTAACACATCCTTCCTTTTTTGCGTTAATAGTTACTGTGGCTGAAGACAAGTGGCCATCTGAGAATCCGGCTCTCTTTAAAGGTCTTAAATACAGAGTGGACTGGAATGTTCAAGAAAAGTGGGAGTTTTACAAATGATACCCCCTTCCACCTCATCACCCCTAACCCCTGTGGCTCTGACATCTCTTTGTTACACCCTCCATCCCCACTGCCGAGGCCACCCAAGAACTACTTCTTTGACTTCTGCTGTCTTTCCAGTTCTCACACATGCATTCATTAATGTTCTCTCCCTCTTCCTCTCCCCTCCCTCCACACACGGCATCTTCATTATGCACACAGAATTGTCCGGATCCCATTAGTATAGAACATCTAGTAGGGCTACCATCCTCGCACCAAATTTCAACACACAAGCCCACTCCCTTTCTCAGCCCGAGCGCCCCTCTTTTACCTCCTCCCTGTCCCGCCCTCACTAGTCAGAAGACCCGGGCGCCGGGCGCGGGGCGGGGGACAGGATACAAAGGGAGGCAGGGGGACAGGATACAAAGGGAGGCAGGGGGACAGGATACAAGCGGAGGCAGGGTAAGGACTCTGAAAGCTTCTGTCCCCATCGGCTCGCCGTCCCCTCGCCCCCGCCCCGGCAGCGTTACCCGCCCCCTTCCCGCTCATTACGTGCCAACAGGTTCCTAATTTCCTCAGGGAGGGGGTAGGGAGAGGAGGTGCTGCTGGGGTTGGGCATGTTAGGGAGCGCAAGGTGTGCGGGGAAAGGACCTGTACTCAAAGGATAACCGACGGGATGGGGTTGTGGCTGTGACCTAGGCTCGGGGCTAGGGCTAGCGGTCCCAGTGCGGACAGCGGGGCTACGAGTCCGGACACTGCCAGGCCGGGAGTCACAACAAAGAAGTCACTGAATCTCCAGCCAGCAGCAGCTGAACTCTTGGCCCAGCCCCGCCCGGAAAACGGGGCGGGCGGTGGGCGTGGAGGAGACAGGGGACCCAATTGCGCATGTGTACACTTCTATTTAATCAGCATCTGAAGAAAGAGCCTCCAGGCAAGCCACGCCCACCTCTACGTAGGGAAGCGGGAGGAGGAGCGGTTAGTGGGAAGCTAGCGGACTGGGCCTGCGTCACCTGATTCCCACCGCTGAAGCCGCTTGTCGCCATTTTAGGTACTGGTACCTTAACAACCGCTAATCATTTCCCCAGAATCCCGAAAAACAATGTGTCCGCCATGCCCAGAAGTTTTCGGACGAAGGGGCCTTCTGTCCGATAGTTAGATCTGCTGAAGTTTAACGCCTCGCCTGCTAATCCACGAGGAGTTTTCGACCTCCCTAAACTATTATGGCCTTCTTTGTTTGATTGAATGAAGGTAACAATGTCCATCTTCCGCCAGTCCTCCTAGAGAAGCCAGTCTGGAGCTGCTCCAGGGAGCATTCTGATTGGCTCTTACATTTCATTTCTGCCTAATTCGTATTCTTGGGGTGACCGATTTCCCCCACTACGAAGAAAGAAAGGGGAGTTCTGGGCACTATTAGAGAATAAAAACAAACAAAACAGAGAAACCAGAAGGCTAAGTAGATATTAGGTACCACTGTTCATCTAAAAGCCTTTTTAAAAAACGCTGGTGGTGATTAGTATAACAAAATTGTACAGTTTGCTCTAATTTGAACATTTTGTCAAGGAACACTTAAGCGTATTCTGTCTGTAAATTTTACATATTTTCTCAAAGAGACACATCTTATTCCTTTAAAGTATGTGTGTAATGAAGAAAGGTAGATATTACATTCAAGCTCCTCTGCACCTTAAAATCACTGAGAGAAGGTTTGGGGCTGCATCTCTTGAAGACCTTCTTCCTGGTGGTGACTCTCTGCAATATCCTGAGGCAATGCAGGCATCACCTGGAAACACTGAAGATTGCCAGCAAACACCAGAAACTGAAAGAGGCAAGGAAGGACACTTCCAACAGCTTTCAGAGAGAGAATGACCCTACTGACACCCTGATTCCAGAATTCTGGCCTGTGAGATACTAATATTCTGGTTTAAGTCATACATATCGCTGTGCTTTATTATGGCAGTCCTGGGAAATGAGCACACTGGCTCTCCCTGTTCTAAAGATTTCATCTGTTTCCCCCAATATACCTTGCTAATCACGTTAAAAAAAAAAAAAAGGCTGATAAAAAAAAGTCTCCAGATAGGAATTGCCAGGACAAAGCATGTTATGAGTGTCCACTGTGCATTTCTCTTGGAAACAGTCACTGGAATGCCCCAAGTTGCACCCTCATTCTCTGCTCATTATTTGAAAACGACACATGAATATCAGTTCTTAAACTTTACCTACATTTCCGTTAGTAAAGATAGTGACTATCTTTTATAGGTGCTACAATTGTACTTTGAACATGTAATATTGTTCCAACTGAACTGTCAATCGTTTATTTCTCTACCCTTCAAACTTCTCTAGATCAATGGTTCTTGCACTTTAGTTTGCATTAGAATCACAGAACCTGTGACGTGGTAGATTCTCAAGTCTTGCTCCCAGAGATTCTGGTTCAGTCTTTTAAACAATTCCTTCGGGTGAATGTCATACATCCTGAGATTTCATTTTGAAAATCACTACTACCTCCCAGCACCTATAGAGCACTAAATTTGTCATAATTTATCTTTATTGCCAGCTGGAACCCTAAACCAACATGGAGTAATGGCTCTGTTAATATTTTTATCAAAACATTCAGGGGCTGGGGTGTAGCTCAGACTATGTGCTTAGTATGCACAAAGCCCTGGATTCAGTTCCCAGAACAACAACAACAACAACAAAATATATTTTGTTGTTATATTTTGTACTGTACAGTACACCAGAGATATGAAAAATTGTGCTCTATATGTGTAATAAGAATTGTAATGCATTTTGCTATCATATATAAATAAAAAATAATTAAAAATTAAAATTAAGTAGTATGATATTTTGTGTAATTCACTAAGAGATAATAATAACAAATACTAATTGTAAAAGGAAAAATCAGGACATATACATATCCATTCTTTACCTCACAAAACAAGACAAAAACTGTAGAATTGAGGTAAAACATGCAAAATAATAACAAGATTACAATTTTTTTGGTAGAGTTAAAAGTGAATAGTGACTACAATATAGGTTTTTCTGATGTCAAAGAATTAAGAACTATTATTCTTAAACTACAAAATTATCCATTTGCTAAAGAAGGAAGGAACTATTTCATGAAAATTTTTTATTAGCAAGAATCATTTCTTCTTTACAGTTATCACATATAATTCTTTGTCTTGTCACTTTTTTTTAATTACACCAGGCCTCCAAATTTCCCTATCCTTTGTTGCCTTCTGACAGAACTGACCACTCTTTTTTTATTATTGTCTCATTTATTTATTTATACTCCACTCATTCCACAAAGGAATTGAGGTGATTTACTTGTGTATCAAATAGACAGCTTTCTGGAGTGGATCAAATGGACAGTGTCTACAATGCTCATTATGACAATCATTCTTGTTAGTGAAAGACAGAAAACTATTAAGATTGCCTTAAAATATATAGCATCCACTAGTCTAAATAAAAAAGGCAATAACATAAAATGGACTTTTTGTATAAAACACACTTCCCCTATTTAAGAACCCATTCTCAGACACAGGTCCATGATGAATTCATTTGGGCAATGCTTTGTATACTCTATCATTTTTACTATCTATTGTTAAAGTTACTGAAATTGATTGTAAGATGGACAGACAAAGAGAGGCTAAAATAAATATATATTTCTCTTGTTTCCAAATGTTTCCATAACAAAAACTAAGATGGAAATCAAATCATACTTTATATTCTTTAAACTAGTCATATGGGGTTAATAATAATGATGATAATAAATAAAACTGTAAATCTCAACCAGAGAAAGGTGATGGCCTCCTCTACCTCCCAACCAGAACCAAAAAAGAGACTAGACTCTAGGAAAAATCTAATGATACATATATGGCCTTATTTCTCATGCTAAACATCTTCCTTATCCCCTTCAAAATTAACTTAGAGTACTGAACAATTATCTGCCCAAAAAATTTAGGTTTAAAAAAAACTAGAGGAACATTGCAGACAGCAGGCCAAAACACTATTTACATTTTTCCTGACTCTCCTATCTTCATTTTTGCTTAGCTTTCCTTGGCATATGGGAGAAAGGTTATATTCAGGCATTATATTAGTTATATATTGCTGCTTAACAAAATTGAGCAGCTTTAAACAGTAGCTCAAATGGTTTCTTATGGTCACGAATCCATGAGCAGCTTAGCTGAATAGTTCTGGCTCAAAGTCTCTCATGAGACTGCTGTAAAGGTGCGAAATTCTTATCCTTCTTTTTCTTTGATTCTTCTAGAAGTAATAGGTATGACTTCATCATTGTGTGGCAGTCAACAAGAAAAAAATTATATTAACACTGGATTTCATATGAAGTCAGTTACCCATAAAAAATGTGAAATTAAGCCCAACCAGAACCAAAAAAGTTCTATTAGATGCAGCTCATGGTTTGAGTTTTTGGGTCATATTCGTTTATTTATTTATTGGTACTGGGGATAGAATCTAGGGCCTCATGCTATGCAAGAACTCTACCACTGAAAAACACCCCCAGCCTAGGTCGTCATTATTATTAACCATATTAGTGTATAATTAAGTTGGCAAGATAAGAAACACATTTTTTTCTTATTTTCCATCTTATTTGCATACATATAAACATATACTTGTGCCATTTGCTATCCTGGCCAATCATTTTAAAATTAAGAAGAATAAGCAATTTAACATGGACTGACTTTGAGTTATTAACAAGATCTTGTATGTCTTTAATATTCTGCAAACAAGGAATAAGGTGAGAGAACTGTCTATCCTTTTCCATACTGAGCAGAGAGTTGTTTCCTGCCCAGTAGCAGCCCTTTTCTCCCTTAAGCTAAATTTCCCTTCCCAGCCTATCTTTTGTTGTTCTTCTTCTTTTTAGTCCTTTCCAGACAGCGTTCAGAAATCTCAGCATGATGAAACCCAGTACCTCATGCATGCTAAGCTGAGCCAGTTCCCAGCCCTGCCTGCTCATAAGCTTGATGATATCCTCTAGTTAACCTTTTAGCCATGCTCTACTAACTGAATTTCTCCTGCTCGGGTTCTGAGACCAAGTGCTTACTTTTCATAAAGGGAGGTATATGTCTAGATTACCTCTAACCCTCTTGGACCATAGCTGTGCTGCACTCTTATAATCTTGATTTACAGGCTGGTCTTAAATTTTACTTGGATCTCTAGAGACATGAGGAAATCCAATTCCTGTGTTGCCTTCTGACACTGGTCAGCCTTAGCTCCCAGTGTGTATGCTCATGCTAAGAAAATGCTTGTTCTTTATTACTAAGATTTAATGCAGAGCCCCCTCCTCTCCATGTGAACTGTTTTACTTCTTCTTTACGGTTTGGTGAGGTTACCTTGCACTGTGAGCAAGTGCATTGAAAGATAAGAATTTTGATTCTTCCCCCCTTTAATTCTTGTCATTGAAATCTCTAATTTCTGCCTCAGACGTGCCAAACAGTAACCTCAGAAATTCCATTTTTTTTTCTTGGCTTATAACAGAGTTAGGGAAAGTTATTCTTCAGCTTATCTAGGGGGTAAAGTGCAAGACTAATGGTATCATTTAAATTTCCCCAACCCACCCCACTCCCAAGGATGACCCTGACCTGCACTCCCTGAACTTCTACCAATTAGAGACTCAGGAGAGAGGATGAGTAACTATCTCCCTTGCACCTTGGTTTAGATTGGTTTGAGAAGTCATGAATTCTAATACATTCATTAAACACACTGCACCTTGGATAAAAGATAACTGAGACCATATTGTGGAAATTAAACATTCCAAGAGAAAGCAGGCTACATGGGCCTT